TTTTTTTGGCTAAACTTTATTTAAGCTGTTTATAGTTTCTGTAAGTATTCACCATTATTCAGAGGCGCTGGTAGTTGTTTAATAAATCTTTTATCTGTTTATTGCATTGATAATTTTGGCTGAATTATTTAATGGAGCTGCTTCTGCTATAAAGTATGCTTTAGCATAAGACTTTTAGCTTCCTTGGTCCTGTTGCAGCTGAGCTATCTTTTGTAACGTACAAGTAAAATCTGTAATTTTTCTCAAATTCTCAGCATTAACTTGTTGCTTGCAATCTTAAGAGTAGATATTTTAATTTAATTTAAATATCACACTGAATAACAATCCAAAAATAAAGTCCAACATTAAGAATCGGCTTAAATTTTGTGCAGTACTAGTTTCGATAATTTAAAAAATTTACGCTGATTCTGTTGGAATTTATTTTTGAGTAGATACTTTGTTGATAAAAAAGAGATCAATTTCATTGAGTCCTAAGGTTTATAAAACAGTCTTGTCAAAATATTTTCAGAATGGAAACTTGACTACTGAACTTGCACTACTAAAAACAGTATATTGTAGATTATCACAATTTTTCTTATGTGATAAACAATAACTTTTTGTGCCCGTTCAAATAAATTGTCTTTCCGTACCGGCAATTGTTTTTTAAAGAGGATACCTGTTTTTACACCTTTCTCGTGTCCAGTATATTGTTGGTCTTGCGCAAAATATAGCTTTTCTGCATCATTGAGGCATTGTTAATCCAAATAAAATTTTCTAAAATATTTCCAGAATAAGATAATGGGTTAGATATGTATTTCATTGAAATCATTCGTATGTGTCTCTTTAAGAAATTTTTCAGGCACCTGATTCAAATTTTCAGGATATTTATTGAAGGTGTTTGTTTCAGGTTTGGAGGTAATGGTTTGTATATTTCTGCGAATTCTACCAATCCTTTTAAAGTTGTTTTAAGTTCTGTGAAGGATTGCAGCTTCCATCTGTTCAAAATTCACTTCATTGTCTATAATTACTGCTTTCAAATTATCCAATATCAAAAGTACATTAAAATATTCATTGGAAAAAAAATCAGTGCAGTCCACAAAGTAAGCTGATTAGTTATGCCTAATGCTCTTTTAATGGGCAATGAGCAAGAAGCGATTGATCATTAATGTAAAAAATCAACATGTGAAACAACCCATGATTGTTTCTTAAGATCCTTCAAAATTTTACCAAATGTTGAAATAAATATATTTTAAGTATTATAAACTATTTAAAAGTTTTAATATGCATGAAACTATGTGATACAATGTGGTATAATAATTATATATGTTAAAACAAAAAATATTTACAAATACAAAATTTAATATAATTGAAGAAGATTATTACCTTTTTTGATTTACTTGAGGTATAGAATAAAAAATACTTTATTGAATGTACATTTTAAATGGCTTTATCAATTAATTTATTTTTATTTAAAATGTTATTGAGATAAAGGCAAAGGTAATTTGAGTGCTTACTAATTTGGATGATACTTCCTTCAGTGTTAGAAAATATGTAGAATCTTGGTATTAAGAAAATATTAGAATAAGGCTTTGTAAGTACAAGCATTGACATTTTTTTAAAAAGTTTTCATCAAAAGGTGAAAAATTATGTTCTTTACTTACTGAAAGATTATGTTCTTTACATAGGATATTAGTCACTTCAGTCAGGTTTGTTTCTGTTTCCAATAAATTCAAATTTTGCATAATAAGTGGGTCGGTGCAGGTTTCAAGAACTCTTGTCTCTCTGAAAGCCAAAATTACATACTTGCTTGCTTTGTATTTTTTAATCGTGCATCAAAAATGACACACATTAATATCTCCATTAATTTTGAAATATGTGGTAATGAAGGAGAAAGTTAGCAATGTATAAATAATAAATATTGAACCTGAAAATGAAAATAAATTTGGAATTTAAAATTTTATATGTATCATTTTTGAATGAATGATATGATAGTTGATTGAATTTGTTGGTGTGAAGATTATTTACGCAATATGTTCACAGGCAGTATTCAAGATTATGTGTTTTGTTTTCAAATTTTGCAACTCTCGTTTGTGTATGATCCCTTGTAATGAATAATTCCTCCCCCCCCCATGACTTACTGATTATAGAGTAATTTTATACCGCACAAAGTCATGTCCAGAATCGTCCGAACTTCTGTGATTCCGGATAGACCATCGGTTTAAATCTTGTAAGATGACATGTAGGCATTGCGGATCTTGACCAGCATCAGAATGTCAATCAGTGTATTGTCAGCAGCCATCATGGGTCTGCCTAGGCAGAATGTGTTTGAAAGTGGCATATAGGAATCTCGGTGGGAAGAAAAGTTGCATATACAGCATACCTGCTTTGTTATATTCTTCATCCCTAGACTTCGTGAAGAGGAGAATCTTTTTTTATTCTTATTATTATTCATACTGTTGGTGAGGACATTAGATTATCCTGGATATGTGACATTGGATTTCAGATATTGCTTAAAAATATTAAGAGAGCAAAATGTTATGTGAAAGTATAAAACAAAAAATGTGGCAAACATTTAGGCAATAAGTCATGCCTTTTGCAGTGTTAAAGAGTTTAATATTTATAACATTATTTGAGAAGTTTTCTGGATCACCTTATTTTGGAGAAATATGCTGTAAAATGTCACAAGTAAAATAACAACATTTAATTGTATTTGTCTGGTCATTTTTCCCAATTTGTCTTCTTTTTTATTACAGTCAAATACTGAAAATACGCCGACCTGAAATCCGCGTTGCCTCTCAAAATATAAACATTCAGTTTATAGGATGCGGAAACCGCAACATGGAGTACGAAATATCGAAGAAAAAATACTTACCGAATAATAATGAGTCATAATGGAAATATAAAATTTTTGACATCAGGATAAAAGGTCTTTTCCTCTCCAGTTTGCATCAAGGTAAAAAAGCAGATGATTTACTCAACTCTTCTTTCAAGTTCATGATTCACGTTTTTGTATTTTCTGAGTTTTTTTATTTCACGAGATTGCTTAGTACTGCCATTTTTTTATCCGGATATTTTGAGGATAAATTATGAATATTTTAAATTTCAGCGCTGTTTAATACATTAACAGATAAGATAACACTCGTGGTTTTACTGCTTGCAACGTTGAAAAACTTAAACACGTTGCATTGACGGTAATGCAAAAAGTGGAAATTCTGCGAATGATAGAGGCAGGTGCTACTCCTCAATTTATAGCAGAATCGTATGGAATTGTGACACAGTCTGTGTGTGATATACGGAAAAATAAAGAAAAGCTGTTGAAATTTTACAGCAACAATGATTCTAACACCGGAATCCAAAACCGGAAATCTTTGCATGAGGCAAAATCGGCAAACCTTGGTTGCTGTCTTGTAGGAGTGATTATTGTTGTGGGGTACTAATTTCAGGACCGCTCTTGAGAGAAAAGAGGAAGCAGATTCATGCTGATTTAAAAACAGAGGAGCCTAATATAAATGAATAATATAATATAATCAATTTATATGTGTAATTATAATTTAATGCATGCAATGAATTATTGTAATAATGTATATAATAATTTAATTAAATGCATCTAATACACGTTATTTATTTTGCACTTTTAGTCTGAATATTATGATTTATCTTTTCTGTCTTGAAATCCACACAACCTCTGGTCCCAAGCTTTGCGGATTTCTGGACTTCTACTGTATTATTATGCTGTATATTTTTTTTAGATTTTTATAATTCCTTTTGTCTGCTTTTTTGGCATAATATCAATTCAGATGTGATTGTATAGCACGTTTTTGTTAATGTTTATTTAATTAGAAAAGAAGCCAAAAACTCATGTTTGAAGTTTTATTTTGTTTCTGCTAGGTGCAATAATGATACTGGGATTAAGCTATTTGTAGATGAGCTCAAGAAGTTTGTATTAACCTCCCTAAAGCACTAGTCAGTACATTGAGTTTTGGTTTGGTACATTGAGTTGGGTTTGGGGTGTTGGGAGCATGAATGTAGCACACAAGAAGGAATACCCAATCCTAGAACACGACAGCACTTTAGAACAGTTGATAATTTGTCATGTAAAATCCTCAGTTAGTTGAGCATTCAAAGTCAGCTCTCCGTATTTATTATACTCTAGTATGAAATGTGTTATGTATATGACAGGGTTCGTAGCGGTCCTTATAAGTGCTTATAAGTCCTTATATTTGAAAATAAAATATAAAGGCCCTTATAGGTGCTTACTTTTTCTTTAAAGCCCTTATTTTTTTTTTTTTTTTTTTTTTTTTTTTTTTTTTTTAGTGCTTATTTTTTGCTTTCAGTGCTTTTTTTTTTAAATGAAAGCGTAATTTTTCCCCGTACCAAAGCCGAAACTAAATAAACAACTTTTCTTCCTAATATGGAATGTCAGATGGTGAATCATACTCCCGGAAATAGCTTTTCTCTCTTTTTCTGCATTAACATAACCTTTGGTCTGCACGGAGAGTACAGACAAGTGCCCGTCGTTCTGTTGGTCAAAGAATTGCGAAAGCAGTTGAAAATTCCGGTACATTCGGTATTCTTTTCCTCCCACCCAAATACTACACACGTTTGAATTTCTATCAAGATCTTAATAATTTGCATTCTCGTTCCGCTTGGTCAGTTCATATTCGTGTTTATTATGATCGTTATGCTTATATTATGAGCATATGGATGGATGTTTATAATAACATAGTTGCAGTAACTGCTGAAGTATAGTAAACTTCCAAAAATGGTTGCGTTTTAACACAGATTAGCTTTCTAAGGAATAGTATTCGGAATGGCTTAAATAAAGGGAAAGTAATTTAATAGTCAAAATAATTTCATTTTTTTTGGCCAATACATTATACAGTACGAATGTTGGGAGGTTCTCCCCTTTTTCCGCAAAATCTCGAATATTGAAACTGTTATAGCTCGCTGCAAAACAAGCAACGGCCTTTTTTTTTTTTTTTTTTTTTTTTTTTTTTTTTTTTTTTTTTGTCATTTTCCAGTCTGGATTGAATAGGACTAAAAGTTCTGCGGTCTACCAACCCAAGCGAAGGATGATTCTATTCCTGAAATTTAGCGCAGTCTGTTGAAAATCAGAATGAAAAACATCCCAGACTGGTAAGTCTCTTTCTTTAGTATGAAAGAAATGTATCTTTCTTTAGTATGATTAGTCTCTTTCTTTATTCTTCCAATACCGGCAGCTGTTGAATCCGATTGCGTAATATCATGTAGGGAAGAATTACGGCGCACGTATTGCGCAATAACGTTTGCGATATTTTGCAGAGATAATTAATTTTGATGTTCGGTCCCAGATTTGTTTATGAACACTTAAAAGAGTTTTCCCGTGCTTGCAGAGCAGAATATTTTTCTGTTCCGTTGGTTTGTTTGAATGGAACTTGCACATATCGAAATGTCAAAAGCATTTATTTAGCGGAAAAATCTAAAGAACGGCTACAGTCTATCCCCCTCCGCTCCTCTTTTTCAAGTTACGCTCCGCTGTCCGAATATTCGCCAATTTTCAAGTATGCGTAGTTAAGCTTTTACTGTTAAAGGATGACTGCATGAAGCAAATTTCTGTCTTCTGATTTCAGAAATATTCCTCTTTTTTATTTAAATTACTTTGCTTGCAATATCTGTTAAGGGAAAACTGATATACGATGAAAATTTAGAAAATGTTCAGAATTTAGATTTAAATTAGTTAAATATCAATAAGAGTGGAAAAATAAATTGTATTTATTATTAAGTTCCAAGTGAATAGAATAAATATGCCTTATTATTATTTATTTCCTCTATTTTGAACTGAAATTTCATCATTAAATCTTGTAATATAGTTTAGTTCTGCATAGTTTTTTTTTTTTTTTTTTTCCCTCTCATTGTAAACTAGTTCTGTAAATTGAACTGTTATTTAAAATTTAAAAAAAAAAGTAATTATTTTCCATGGTTGAGGTAATGCTTATTCTCTCTTAATAAATACTGCATTTCTCATATTTTAAATTAAGAGTCTAATTTTTAAGGTTATGCAGTTGTGTATAATGCAATTAAACGGGTGCTTATTTTTTTTTTTTTTTCTTAAAATGTGCTTGAAAAGTGCTTATAGGTGCTTATTTTTTTTAACTAAAATGTGGCTATGAACCCTGTATGAGATAAAAACTTTTTTTGCAGGACTGGTGACTTGTTGCTTAGGGTATGTGGGGAAACTTTGCAATTGCTTTCCAGCATATATCTCCACGTTACAATACACCATAATTGTGAATACCTTCACTTAATTTTGTATAGCATATATTTGCAAGTTTGGTGATGCATGTTGCTTGAAATCACATTTATTATGAAATCTTAGATGTTTCTGAATTATGGTTACATTCACAGCCAAAAGAATTTGGGGGTGGGGGATTTTCAACAAATTTATCAAATATTTATCTGCCAACAATCGACTGTTCTTAATCCTCTTCTTGAATTTTATCAAACTTTTAAATACTGTAGCAAAAATAGATTCTTCAGTTTCATCAATGCTCAAAGTATATCAATTAATGAGCATTTGTTTTACACTTGGCAATTGAGCAGTTGCATTACTTCTTTTTATTCTTCCATAGCCAAAGATTAATTTTATGTTTATTTCCCTTTTCTCTTTAAAAGGTTGTTTGAAATTCCTCATTAAAAAAAAATTTTTTAATCTGTTCCACAAATAAGTCAGTATCATCATCATCAAGAAGCATTTAAAGTATTTCATCTAAATCGTGAAAAAAAATTATTAAAATAAAATTTATATTACAAGAAATTATTTAAAATTGTAGATTGTAGGAAATTTATGTGTCTGGGTGCAGTATAACTGACTGGCAAAGAAAAACAAATGATTTGAGTGGCAAACATATACAGTGAAAAGCCATTATATTATGACAGGGTTCGTACGGTCCTTAAGAGTCTTTAAATTTTTTGAAATCGATTTTTGGTCCTTGAAAGTCCTTAATTTTGGCCAAAATCAGTAGAAGGTCCTTAATTTTAATCATCTGAAATTTCTCTCTGTTTTTACGACTGCCATTTTTGAGTGTGAATTACATTTTGGAGGATATTTTTGGCAAATCACTGGCGTATATGGTTATTTTTGAATGGGTTCATGGGTTATAATTTGTTTCTATTTCTAACATAAATGATGGGATACTCGAGTTCCTAAGCAAGAGTGAACATAAGCATTTCAAATTCATTTTTTCTAATAAAGAGCTCTTAACAACTTTTCGTCGCTTTTGGGGTTGTAAATTCTTTTATTAAATGGTTCTAAATTTGACAATTTGTCAACATTTTGGCGATTTTAAGATCAGTTTCTATAGAAAATTTTTAATTCCGAGATCTGAGAATTTTTCGGCAGTTTTTTTAAAACATCATAACATTGATAAATTTCCATTGAAATAATGGTAATATATTAGAATTATTTAATTAAAAATAAAATAAAATTAAATAAACATTTTATTTTTCGCTGTCATATTATAAAGTTTCAATTTGGCAACTTGTTTTATATGCTAAAAGCATAATTTACGAAACAGCTCTTAGTAAAAGCAAAATTAGCTATGTAATTAATTAAAAATGTCTTCTTTTTAATTTTTTCATAGTAAGCGTTTTTCCCATGTATTGTCTCATTATTCAAATTATCCCCACAGAATATGCATCAGTTTTCTCCATAAAATTAATTTTACACTTTTTCCTTCCCCCCCCCCCTTTTTTTTTTTTTTTTTTTTTTTTTTTTTTTCAAATATTCTGGCTTTTTGCTGTTAACAGAATTGGTTGGGAAATTTTTCTTTAGTATTTTTAACATTGCAGCATGGAAAGTTTAGAAGGATTTGAAGGCAAGATTTATAGACCCACGATTCTAGAAGATTCGAGAAATTGTGACAAAATGAAAAATGTCTCCATGGTATGAACATATCAACACATAATGGATGCATTTTACAGAAAGTTTGCGATGAACTTGTTACTTTTTGCAGAATTTTTGGCAAGAACAATGGAAACATAATGTTTGAATGTTTTACTTCTGATACTAGATCAGTCTAACCTAACATGTTTATCTTCCCTTTATTTTCTCTACTTTTCACTAGACAAAAGCTGGGAAAATAACAAAAATGCTTGTTTATGTACGCACTAATGTACACTATTCGAATCACGATTGTCGCTGCCTACGCATGTAACTATCTATCGATGTATCTAAATGCCACATCTAAATTTCTGCAAGTTCAGCTATAATTCTATGATCACACTCAATCTAGTTTTAAAAGGATTTATTAAAATACTAAAATTGATCTAATCTAGAATCGAATCTAATGTTACATCTCAGGAGCAGCGTTCTAGCTGCGTCATAACAAATCGAAAGTCAAGTTCTCACTGTTGCCATTCTGAGGCAGAGAAAAGTTTGTTTCTAATCAAACCGGAACATCGGCATAGTGAAAGTTTCTAGTCAAACCGGAACATCCCGGCCCCCATTAAACGATTGTCCAACATCATTTGGAAATGGGAGTGGACTGATATTGGAGACGGCTCAACGAAAGATTCCATCTAAAGTTCTGACGTCTACGACTCGTACTAGTCCATCTGGACCAGGAAAGGTCTCCTCGATGCGAGCTAGTGTCCACTTCATGGGTGCCTTGTTTTTATCCTTTAACAAGACTAGTTGTCCTGCCTTGAGATTGGACCTCACTTGATTCCATTTTGAGTGGTTCTGCAAATGATTAAGATATTCCACACTGTAACGGTTCCAGAAATTAGCTCTAAGTTTTTTAATTTAGTTCCACCTAGAAGACAAGGTCAAAGAATCTGCAGAATCATTCGGTTCTGGTATCAACAAAAGTGGAGCTCCTATTAGGAAATGACCTGGAGTCAAAGGCTGAAGATCTGTTGGATCACCCGAAATAGGTGACTGAGGTCAAGAGTTCGAGCAGGCTTCTATTTGCGTAATTAATGTATACAGCTCTTCAAAGTTCAAAATTGTCGTTTTCGCGACCTTTGTCAAAATTCTCTTCATTGATTTTATATTAGCCTCCCATAATCCGCCAAAATGTGGGGAAGAAGGAGGAATAAATCTCCATGTTATACCTTCTTCGGAACTAAAGCGTTGAATAGGATCCGATCTACAAATTCTAAAGAGTTTATCAAGAACATTCTTCATTCCCTTAAAGTTCGTAGCGTTATCACTCCAAACAATGGATAGTTTAGATCGTCTGGCAATAAACCTTCTAAGACATGCTGGAAAGGCTTCAGTAGACAAGTACGATACTACTTCTAGATGAAGTAGTATCGTACTTGCTAAAGCCTTTGTACTAAAGCAAATAAATATCGCTATGTATAATTTTAACGTAACTCTAGATCTTTTCAAATTAGGCTTGGTGATAACTGGACCTGCAAAGTTCAGTCCTATTTTTTCGAATGGTCTAGTTATTACAACACTATCTCTAGGTAAGTTTCCCATCATTTGGTTTATGGTTTGGTTCCTTGTTTGAAAGCATGTCATGCATTTACTTATAACGCGTCTAACTCCTCTATCTTGTCCGGAAGCTATCCAGTATAATTGTCTAATAAGAGAAAGTGTTGTTTAAACGCCCGAATGAAAAGATTTTTTGTGATAATAATCTATGAGTAATTCAGTAAAATGTCTTTTGGGTAAAAGAAGTTGATGTTTCTGGTCTTCTGAAAGATTGGAGTAACGTAGTCTCCCACCAACTCGTAAAAGTTCATTTTCATCCAGAAATACATTTAAGGATAAAACCTTACTATTCCTTGGAAGTGATCGATTCGACTGCAGGCACTTAATTTCAGGTTGAAATTCAGAATGCTGTACACATTTGACTAGCACCTTTGTTGCATTCTGTAGTTCAGAAGCACTCAAAAAAACTTTTTCTTAATGATGGATTGGTTCTACAGTTGTTCGCAAACCTTAAACACCATGCAGTAGTTCTAATCAATTTGCTGAATGACGAATACCTTTTAATGAATTCGTTTTCAATGGAATTTTCACCTGTGACTGTTGAGTTCACTACAGCTCCCCTTTGAAGTTCAAGCTCTTCATGATCCTTGAAATCTCTTACTGATTCTGCAAGTTTAGGCCATGAATCGATGCTCTGTAATAGCCACTTAGGTCC